AACACAACAAAGATGGCGGCTGAGTCTTGGTCACCATAGCGACTATCCACCTTATTTTGTGCCAATTTGCAGCGTATTTGCAAGTGTTTGAGGATGACCTTGTACGTGATGATAACCAAGGTCAGTAACAATGTCTGGGCACAGATAACAAGTGTCAGGGAAGTGAGATAACAAGATAAATAACGGGGAAAATGTGGCGATCTGCGCCTTACTCTCTCAACCTGTTATGTTGGATATTATTATTATTATTATTATTATTATTATTATTATTATATTATTATATTATTATATTATTATTATTATTATTATTATTATTATTATTATTACTTATTATTATTATTATTATATTATTATTATTATTATTATTATTATTATTATTATTATTATTATTATTTTATCGTTATTATTATTATTATTATTATTATTATTATTATTATTATTATTATTGTTGATCGTTATTATTATTATTATTATTATTATTATTATTATTTATTATTATTATTATTATTATTATTATTGATCGTTATTATTATTATTAGTAGTAGTAGTAGTGTGGTAGTAGTATAGTGGTGGTAGTAGTAGTAGTGGTGGTAGTAGTAGTGGTGGTAGTAGTAGTAGTGGTAGTAGTAGTAGTAGTAGTAGTGGTGGTAGTAGTAGTAGTGGTGGGAGTAGTAGGATGGCAGTAGTAGTAGATAGTAGGTGGTAGTAGTAGTAGTGGGGTAGTAGTAGTAGTGGGGGTAGTAGTAGTAGTGTGGTAGTAGTAGTGGTAGTGAGTAGTAGTAGTGGTCATAGAGTAGAGTGGTGGAGATAGAGTGGTGAGTAGTAGTAGAGAGTGGGGGAGAGAGTATGGCACAGTATTATATTTTAAAAAAAGTGGTGGTAGTATTTGGTACATGGTGATATTAGTAAAGTAGTGGGTGGTAGGTAGTAGATTGTAGTGGTGATAGTAGTAGAAAATGTGGGAGTAGTAAAAGTGGGGAAGTGTAGTAGTGGGGGAAATAGTAGGGATGGTAGTAGTAGTAGTGGTGAGAAAGTAGTTAGTAGTGGTAGGTAGTAGTAGTAGTGGTGGTTAGTATTAGTAGTGTGGTAGTAATAGTAAGTGGTTGTAGTTAGAATGGTGTTTGAGTAGTAGTATAAAGGTGGTAAGTAAGTATGGTGGTAGTAGTAGTAGATAGTGGTGGTAGTAGTTATGGTGGTAGTAGTAGTAGTCGGTAGTGTAGTATAAGTATGGTGGTATGTATATGTAGGTATAGATAGATGTGTAGAGTAAGTAGTGTAGTAGTAGTGTGTGTAGTAGAGTGGTGGTAGTATAGTAGTAGTGGTGGTATTTAAAATAGTGGTGGTAGTAGTAGTATGTGGTGTAGTAGTAGTAGTTGGCATAGTGTAGGTAGTATTAGTAGTGGTGGTGTAGTAGTAGTAGAGTGTGTAGTGTGTGGTTAGTAGTAGTAGATGGTAGGTAAGTAGTAGTGTAGGTGGTAGTAGGTTGTAGTAGTGGATGTGGTAGTAGTATAGTGGTATAAGTTGTAGTAGTAGTAGTGGTGAGTAGTAGTAGTAGTGGTGTAGTAGTAGTAGTATGTGGTTAGTAGTAGTAGTGTGTAGTAGTTGGTGGTAGTAGTTAGTAGTAGTGGTAATTAGGTAAGTTAGTAGTTATAGTAGTGGTGGTATAGATAGTAGTAGTTTAGTAGTGTGTAGCAGTTAGTTAGTAGTAGTAGTGTGTGTTAGTAGTAGTTAGTAGTAGTAGTTGGTGGTATAGTAGTAGTAGTGTGGTAGTAGTAGTGGTAGGTGTATAGTAGTAGTGTAGTTAGAGTAGTAGTGTGGTGGTAGTTGTAGTAGTAGTGGTGAGTAGTAGTGTAGTAGTAGTGGTGGTAGTAGTAGTAGTAGTGTAGTAGTAGTAGTGGTAGTAGTAGTAGTAGTGGTGGTAGTAGTAGTAGGTTAGTAGTCAGTAGTAGTAGTGTGGTAGTAGTATAGTAGTGTGGTAGTAGTAGTAGGTAGTAGAGTAGTAGTAGTGGTGGTAGTAGTAGATAGGGTGGTAGTAGTAGTAGTGGTAGTAGTAGTAGAGTAGTGGGTAGTAGTAGTGTGTAGTAGTAGTGGTGGTAGTAGTAGTAGAGTAGGTGTGGTAGTAGTAGTAGTGGTGGTAGTAGTGTAGTAGTATGTGGTAGTAGTAGTGAGTGGTAGTAGTAGTATTGTGGAGTAGTAGTGAGTGGTAGTAGTAGTTGGTAATAGTATGGTAGTAGTAGTAGTAGTGGTGGTAGTAGTAGTAGTAGTGGTGGTAGTAGTAGTGTGGGTAGTAGTAGTGGTGGTAGTATATAGTGCAGTAGTAGTGTATGTAGTAGTAGTAGTTAGTAGTAGTGTAGTTAGTGTAGTAGTAGTATAGTGGTAGGTAGTAGTAGTAGTAGTAGTGGTAGTAGTAGTATGTAGTGTAGTAGTAGTTTGTAGTAGTAGTATAGTAGTAGTGTAGTAGTATAGTAGTGGTAGTAGTAGTAGTATAGTGGTAGTAGTAGTAGTAGTAGTGTAGTAGTAGTAGTGATAGTAGTGTGTAGTAGTAGTAGTAGTGGGTAGTAGTAGTGGTAGTAGTAGTAAGTAGTGGTATGTAGATGGTCCAGATGCCTAATGAGTAGTAGTAGTGTGGTAGTAGATAGTAGTAGTGGTAGTCAGTAGTTAGTCGTCCAGTAGTAGCATAGTAGTAGTGGTAGTAGTATGGTCGTAGATGTAGTAGTAGTGGTAGTAGTAGTAGTGTAGTAGTAGTGGTAGTGAGTAAGTAGTCGTAGCGTAGTAGTAGTCGTGGCAGTTGTCGTGTGATAGAGTGGTGCCAGTAGTCGTAGTAGTTGGTAGTAGTAAGTGGTGTAGTGTGGTAGTAGAGTAGTAGTGTGGAAAGTAGTGTGCTGAGATGTGGTGAGTGTAGTGTGGATAGTGTAGTAGTGGTAGTAGTATGTGTGTAGTAGTAGTGGTGGTAGTAGTGGTTAGTAGTGGTGTAGTGGTAGCAGCAGTAATATTAATGGTATTCTGGTAATGATTCAGAAAACATTGCACAACACAAGATGTGCCGTGCCTGCACAAGATGTGCCGTGCCTGCACAAGATGTGCCGTGCTGCACAAGATGTGCCGTGCCTGCACAAGATGTGCCGTGCTGCACAAGATGTGCCGTGCTGCACAAGATGTGCCGTGCCTGCACAAGATGTGCCGTGCCTGCACAAGATGTGCCGTGCCTGCACAAGATGTGCCGTGCCTGCACAAGATGTGCTGCCTGCACAAATGTGCCGTGCTCACAAGATGTGCCGTGCCTGCACAAGATGTGCCGTGCTGCACAAGATGTGCCCGCCTGCACAAGATGTGCCGTACCTGCACAAGATGTGCCGTGCCTGCACAAGATGTGCCGTGCCTGCACAAGATGTGCCGTGCCTGCACAAGATGTGCCGTGCCTGCACAAGATGTGCCGTGCCTGCACAAGATAGTGCCGTGCCTGCACAAGATGTGCCGTGCCTGCACAAGATGTGCCGTGCCTGCACAAGATGTGCCGTGCCTGCACCAGCAACACTCTTCTTCGATACTACTCTCAATAGTAACCTGATGGTCAGGTATCAGGAGTACTGATGGTCAGGTATCAGGAGTACTGATGGTCAGGTATCAGTACTGATGGTCAGGTATCAGTACTGATAGTCAGGTATCAGTACTTGTCAGGTATCAAGAGTACTGATGGTCAAGTATCAGTACTGATGGTCAGGTATCAGTACTGGTGGTCAAGTATCAAGTACTGATAGTCAGGTATCAGTACTGATGGTCAGGTATCAGTACTGATGGTCAGGTATCAGTACTGGTGGTCAAGTATCAAGTACTGATGGTCAGGTATCAGTACTGATGGTCAGGTATCAGGAGCACTAATAGTCAGGTATCAGGACTACTGATGGTCAGGTATCAGTACTGATGGTCAAGTATCAAGCACTGATGGTCAGGTATCAGTACTGATGGTCAAGTATCAAGCACTGATGGTCAGGTATCAGTACTGATGGTCAGGTATCAGTACTGATGGTCAAGTATCAAGTACTGATGGTCAGGTATCAGTACTGATGGTCAAGTATCAAGTACTGATGGTCAGGTATCAGTACTGATGGTCAAGTATCAAGTACTGATGGTCAGGTATCAGTACTGGTGGTCAGGTATCAGTACTGATGGTCAAGTGTCAAGTACTGATGGTCAGGTATCAGTACCGTTGGGCAGGTATCAGTACTGATGGTCAGGTATCAGTACTGATGGTCAGGTATCAGTACCGTTGGTCAGGTATCAGTACTGATGGTCAGGTATCAGTACTGATGGTCAGGTATCAGTACTGATGGTCAAGTATCAAGTACTGATGGTCAGGTATCAGTACTGATGGTCAAATATCAAGTACTGATGGTCAGGTATCAGTACTGATGGTCAGGTATCAGTACTGGTGGTCAAGTATCAAGATTGATGGTCAGGTATCAGTACTGATGGTCAGGTGTCAGTACTGATGGTCAGGTATCAAGTACTGATGGTCAGGTATCAGTACTGATGGTCAAGTATCAAGATTGATGGTCAGGTATCAAGATTGATGGTCAGGTATCAGTACTGATGGTCAGGTATCAGTACTGGTGGTCAAGTATCAAGATTGATGGTCAGGTATCAGTACTGATGGTCAGGTATCAGTACTGGTGGTCAAGTATCAAGATTGATGGTCAGGTATCAGTACTGATGGTCAGGTATCAGTACTGATGGTCAAGTATCAAGATTGATGGTCAGGTATCAGTACTGATGGTCAAGTATCAAGTACTGATGGTCAGGTATCAGTACTGATGGTCAGGTATCAGTACTGATGGTCAAGTATCAAGTACTGATGGTCAGGTATCAGTACTGATGGTCAGGTATCAATACTGATGGTCAGGTATCAGTACTGATGGTCAAGTATCAAGATTGATGGTCAGGTATCAGTACTGATGGTCAAGTATCAAGTACTGATGGTCAGGTATCAGTACTGATGGTCAAGTATCAAGTACTGATGGTCAGGTATCAGTACTGATGGTCAAGTATCAAGTACTGATGGTCAGGTATCAGTACTGGTGGTCAGGTATCAGTACTGATGGTCAGGTATCAAGTACTGATGG